TTAATATTTTGCAGCTTTCTGTATGGTTTCAGGCCATATTGTAGGTTTGAGAAATGAACACCTTAAGCTTAGAAATCAGGGATATGGTAACCATTACAAAATATGCTAATACAGGTTGTTATAATGGATCAAAAGAATAAAAGATACCATAATGTGTGAAAGACAAGAAGTTCTGAGTTTGGGCAGATCACATTTTATTTGCAAAACATATTAAGAACAAATTAAGTTTGGTATAACATGACTGTGCAAATATTGCCCCCAAAGTTATAGAATCCATTTTTTTCAGAAACCCTTGCGACTTAGCAAATAAACAACTTGGGTTTATGGGATCCGGGACAGGTCTCAGGATGGCTGGTTTAGTATCTCATTCCCAACATGTCAGGGATTAAACTATTTGGTTTCTAGTCTGGGTAAGTAATTTCTACCTGTTGAGCCTGTTGCTTTGAACTTACTTGCTAAAAGCAAGCAGGAAAGAGCAACCACGTGTAGCTGTTGAATGGAGATGTCATAACGGTCCATAAAGAGGTCTAGGAGGTAAACAGCAAGGTGTCGGGCAGCAGGACAGAGTCGGAAGCGATTGCTCACAATGGCAATCAAGTCTGCAAAATATCTTCTCAGATTTAACTGGGGAGACTGGCCTTTATAAGAGGGTAGCTTCAGCTCCTAAGTAGAGAATAATAGGGTGGAGCGTTTAAAAAGAAGAAGGAAAAAGTACAGCCACCGCTATATAGGACCTTGCATTGAGAATAATTACATTCAAAGATTAATTCATTCCTTTCATTCATTCAGTTTGTATAGTTGCCCATCTCACATAAGTGACTCTGGGTGGCTCACATCCATTAAAAACTTCAACAAAAACAGCACAATACAAATAAAAATCAAACAAAACATATAAAACCATGTTAAAAACCATAGAACGTGTTCAGCAAGCGAGTTACAAAAATGTTCACAGCATTCAGCATAATCACTGAACAGGCTCTATATCATAAGCAGATCCCCAAACCCAATATATTTAAGATCATTTTAGAATTGAGGTTCCTAGGATTCATTGTTTAATCTCCCTAATACTTTAAAGAGAATACAAAAAGTTTTAGAGTTCAGATCCCCAGGATTTATAGTTGAGTCCCTCCTTTAAAAATACCAACAACAGGTGCAGCACAGACATTAGAGCTATACAACAGTTGAAAGGAATTGCAGGAAGATATGAACTCTGACACTCATCTTTGGGCATAGTTGTTACTGCTCCTCAAAGTTACTTGAGTTTCCCTTGACTACTGTTATTACTATGCTGGCAATAACTGAGACAGCAAGCCATAAGGGGTAGGCAACTGAAATGGTTGTTGTTAGCATCAACACTTCCATCTTGGGGGGAGAAGTGGATGGAGATGCTAAGTGCATAGTAACCATATCATCTACCTCTTTCTCTTTTTTCCATCTGTGTAGATGTGTTTGTCTTTTTATACATTTTAATCATGTATTTATTGTTTTCACTTGATGTAAACCGCCCAGAGTCCCCCATTGTGGGGAGATGGGCGGGGATAAATCTATGTATAAATAAATAAAATAAATAAAATATCTCAGTTCCATGTCAGGAGGTCAAGCTGCAGCAAAATGCTAACGTGTTGAAATGTGAAACTGCATTGAATCATTATAAATGATCTGAACGAAGACATTCTAACCCAAAGGGAAAATTGGTCAAGGGTGTGTGTTGGGGGGAGTTCTCCTTGAATAAAGCACTGATCTGAAGAAGATAATGCTAGGTATTTACTAAATTTGAAATACTGTCTGAGCAATCAATTGCTAATAGTTGCAGAGAGTAAGGGAAGTGATTTTGACAGAAACATGGAAGAACTATTACCCAGGCAAAGAGGACTGAAGCATTCTTCAAGTCCTGGGAAGCAAGATAACATTCAAAAGCGGACCAAGTGAACAGCTCTGATTCACTGGGGTATAAGAAGGGAGTGAAAGCACAATCAGACTTGCAAGATACTGTTATTATAGCCTCTCAATAAAATATAGTTCTAGTCTTGCTGTGGAGTTGATTTTCTGGTTTGATCTACCTAGTGGGGCTGACAATCGTAAGTTGTCTTTGGTATCTCTCATTTGTTTTATGGATTTCTTTCTTTTTTGCTTGAATAAGCCTATTCATCTCTCTTTCTATCAATGCTAAACCTGTTAGATTGTATGATGCAAACCCACTGCTAATAACCTATTTTGATTATAGAACAAAATACCGAGGGCCAATATATTGAGAATTATAGTTAGATTTTCCAATTTTCAAGAAAGATTATTCTCAGAAGGAAACACAGGAGCGATTTCTTTAAGATGTCTTCCTATGCCCAGCTATTAGTCCTACTGGGAAGACAGGGACAATATTGATACCTGCCATCCCCCCTCCCCAAAGCCAATCAGAGCTAAGAGGAAACAAAAGATTGCTGTAGAAGAAAAAGAGAGAAGATGTCTTAATCCTCTGATACCTGATTTTTCATCACATAATCCTAAATCTGCTCATTGCACCAAGTCAGTTACGCTTTGTTGAATAAATTACAATGGTCAGATTCACAGAGAATGTTAACTAGAAATCCATTTACAAATCACAGTGGCTGAGCTCACCCATTCAAAACCAAAGAAATCACATTGTGGCTTAATATATTAACACTGGAAAAAGTTGTCATGGTGAGCACTTTCTGCTTCTCCATCACCACCAGCACAAACCACCTTAGAGTTCAGTTTTATTCTTTATTGTGATGTTTGGGTACAAGGCACATCTTCTATTAATAATCCAGAACATAAGCAATCTATTAGATATAGAAAGGGCAGACTGTTCTAGTCTGTTCCACATCATTAGACACTCTACTTCAGGACTTTTCTATTATTATATTCATTCACACACTTTCCCTGCAATGAAAAGAGTTACTTAAGTTCCACTTTACAGTTGGAAAACTGGATGGAGCAGTTTAACATGAATCACAGTATCAGTAACTGAAACAGTGAACTCTGCTTTGAATGTTGCTTGGCTCGGAAGCAATTCATGCTTCAGAGGCATCTAAATCTGCTAGACTGGAAGTATATTGGAACTATCAGTAATCGATGCCATCAGGCATCATAAGTTGGTGGGTCATTAATCTAGAAAGCTGCAGAAGACCAAAAAGATGGATACTGGGTATTGCTACAATCACAAGAAGCCACAGGGAGGTTATGGGCACTGCCATATATTTAGCTGTTAGTGCCACCAATAGTAAGATATTACTCAGCCATTCTGTGTCTTTTATCTTAGCGTATTTTTGTTGTTCTTCTACTATGAAGAAAGATAGAAGAAATGGTGAGCCAACAAGGCAGAGTTCCAAAAGGAGGATAACATTGTCTGGACCCCTGGTACCATTCCATGAATGAAGCCTAACAGAAACACCTTGTAACCCCACTTCATTGGGGATCACCTGATATCCACTTGTGGCCATCAGCCTAAGAGCATACATGATTTAGGCAACGTTCATTTGAAAAGCAAGCCTGGCTTTTGGATTTGCTAAGCATACTTGTACCAAACCAAACATTGTGGTTTGCAAACCATATGGCTTAAACGTTTGTGTGAACCCTGGCAATTACAGTTTATTCAATCAACTGAAATAAATAACTGCTCTGGTGACTGATTCAGAACAGTCAACAAGACACCAATATCATGGATCTGAAGAAAAAAAAAATGGGATAAGAAACTTCCAATGAAGAAAAGATAACTCTATAATTAAAGAAATCCATCTTCAAATAATGCTATTGATTTAACAAAGAACAATATACAACGGCTAACTACATTTCTCAGGTCAGAGTTGTACATTAAGTTATTTATCAGCATCTGACTGAGACAGAGTGAGACCAACACAGCCTTCCAAACTGATGGGAAGGCAGAAAGGTAAATACTTATGAATAGATCACAAACAATTTGTGATAAAAAGTTTCAGGAATGTACATTGGTTTAATTTAAACAGGATCGACATTTCTATTGTCTGTATGATGACTGGACTGGAAATGGAACTAACTTGATTTTTTGAATTCATACAACCTATTGAACTTTAAAGCCACCACATGGACTGGGTTTGTACAACATGTGGGTAGTTAGGTTTGTAATGCAAACACAGCCAAGGAGGTGGAGTGGATTATGTGCAAAATGTTGGGTTTTCTATTTACTGCCTTCACACAATAAATCAAATCATGATTTGATAAGTCATAGCTTATTGGTAAACCAACATGGCCTTTATACAATGTTAAGCCATAAATCATGGTTTGCCAACCTCAATTTCCGAGCTAACAGAATAAACATCACCAAACAAAAGACATGTTATAGGTTAGCACTAAGTCACTGATTCTGAAAATGTGATCTTAAACAAAAAGAATATAAAGTTTTTAAAGGTTACAGGCTTAGGTATACTGACAATTTACTTCTACTGAGTTTGTGAAGATTTCATTCTGCGTTAAATAGGCTTATAGTCAAGGTGAAAGCTGAACACGTTCCCTTTCTCAATGGGAACTAAAATCACACATGTATGAAAACAGTCTTCTAGGAAGATAATTAGCATATTAAAGATCAGAGGCAATCACATATCAAAGAATTAAGAGAAGACTCAGACATTTACACAAGTAACAGAACCGGATATGTTATACCTGGTGGTTCTGCCATGCCTGCTCTGGAAAGATTTCTGTTAAAAGCAAGGCCCTAACTAATGCAGCTTTCTTTATCATTATAGCATAATGACAAGAAGCTGCACCTGGTGAATATCCATCAGAAGCCTTCTTAAAAAGCCTCAGAGTCTCTTCGGAAACTGATAATCAAACATTTATAAGACAAAAATGACTGCACCCAGGCCTGGTAAACACATTGCTCTAAATCACCTTAACTATGATTCATTGAATAAACCATCATTGCTTGAATCCATGCAATATAATAAGACACAAACAAACTATTATGACTTGGTGCAATGTCTACTCCCGATCTCAGTATTTCATAAAGGAAAAAACTATGTAAAAGTTCCATAGACCCCTCAGTGCTGGGGAAAACCTGACTGCTTCTACAGCCATCAGCAAAGCAATAAATATTATTTCAACTGATCCTTTGAATCCAGCTCTGCGTGTTAACTGCAATCTGTCTGCAAGGAGAGAGACCTAAATAAGACCAGCAATTTCCAACTAAGATGCAAAGCAGCAGTCAGCTGCTGATGTCCATTCAACTGTCTCTCTGACAGTTGTTCCTGTAACCCAGCATCTATGACATTGTCATCATTTTTTAGGTTGATAAGCCACAGCCCTGGGAAACTATGCTCAGCAACCCAGTCTGGGGCTGTCAGTCAGCCTGGAAAACTTCAGGGATACGGACTACAAATTTTTCCAGCCTGACCAAATGTTTCAAATAAAGAAGTCCCTTTATGTACGTGTTTATGTTAGGCTGTGGTTTTATGATTATCTTGAACTTGCACTGGCAGTATTATTATAGCATTCTGATAAATTTGGATTTATTGTAATGCATTCTGTATTATGCTGTAAGCCACTTAGGCATGTGACCGAAGTGGCAGAGAAGCATTTGCAACAGACGAACAGGAGACACAGCAGAAGTACTCAGCAGGATTTGGAAATAAGCTACCTTTTCTCACAACCCCGATGGGTTACTCGTTGATTAGAAATTGCATCTGAAACTGCCCTTAGAATAAAAAAAGATCAGGTGAAAAGAAGGCTTTGAACGAACTTTAAATCTGACATGTCCCCTTTCTTTTACTTATACAGGTGTTGGAAAAGCAAGTAGATTCAACAACAACAATAATAATTTATTAAATTGACATGCCATCCAACTCGCAGTGACTAGTATCCTATACCTTGGGAGGACCTTTTTGCTTTATTGCGTCACCCTGAACAAACCCTTGAGTGGAATGGGATCTTTACTTTGATCCCTGCTGAAAATTAAAGTTTTAGTAGGCCTAAAGCAGAGCTTCCTAACTGTTCTTCTCATGAAGAAACAATCGTTCCACCGATCTCCATATCTGGAATATCTGCACCTGGAGACAGGGAGCAGGATTGGAGAGAAGGGAAGTTGGCAGAACTGCCCTCCACTGCACCAACAGAGCTACCTATCTCTGCAGTTGAAGTCAATGGGACTGGCTGCTGACTGGGAAGATCTACTAACTTCAGGGCGATGGCTGCCAAGATCCTACAACCCATAAGCGACCACAACTCCCTGAAGTCCGGGGAAGTTTCAGCAGCATCACTTCCAGGGCTTTGGAGGAAGCGTCAGAAGCAAGTCCTATGGAAAGACAAGGAGCCCCACTGGTTCCCACCTGGAGCTTCTGCCTCAGTTCCCCCACCTGGGAGTGCAAAGACTCATTATTTGACTCAGAATGAAGTCAAGAGCTGGGAGCCTGGAAGGGCCAGAGAGCGGGCCTTCCTTTCCGCAGCTGGCGAAAGGGCTGCGCCCGCCTCGGCCACTTCGGAGGGGAAGGCGGGCGAGGGCATCAGCGAAGCGAAGCGAAGCGAGGCGCAGCTTTAGCCCCGAGCGCCCGACTTGCCTCCTCCGCCCGGCCGCGGACTCGGCGCGTCGGGGTCGGGCGTGAAGGCGACGCGGGGGCGCCCGGCGATGCGGCCGACTTACCTTGTAGCGAAGCGCTTGGTGGATGTCGGCAGCCAGCTGTCCTTTCCACCACTGCCCCTCCAGCTCCATGGGATGGGTGAGGCGGCAGGGGATCAGGAGCGGGGAGCCTGCGGAGCAGAAAGGGGAGCCGCGCCGTCCTGAACAGCAGCTCGTCGCCCGCAGGACGCCTCCCCAACTCCCAGCAAGCGGCCGCGACGGGCGCCGCTCTGCGAGACGCCGGCAGGAAATCCTCCCGCCCCAGCCG